CTGCACAGAGCAAGGCTGAGACTTGATTTTCATGTTCATTTGCTTGTGTTTTAGACCATTGCCCAGCCTGGGCTGGAACTTGTGACCCTCTTGCCTCAGCCTTCTGAAATGCAGGATTTCAGGCCTGCGTTATTGCAGGGCTTTACTGTTGTAGGCAGCTGAGTTAGATAGAAATATTATAGGCAGTTAGACAGGGTCAGGCCCTCAAGGAGACAAGATAGAAGATGAGGTGACTTTGCAACTTGGAAGAGACAGACCCATGTGGGCCACACCTCAAGACCAAGACAAAAAGAGGAAACACAGCTACATCCTTCCCTAGGGATGAGCATCAGGGATTGATATTCTAAATAGGTATCAGTCATCTTGAAAGAGCCCAAATGAGTCACTAGCCCAACCCCAACAGGAGGAGACCCTGTTCCACATTCTTGCCCGCTTGCTACAAGACTCATTTCTTCATTTGGGCCTGGATTTAATCAATTTTACCTGAGCAATGGTGCTTGTAATCTCATTGGTTGACCCTAGTTTTGTCCCACCTCATGCTCACCTAAGCAAGTTCCCATGTCTTCTTCACCACCTTAGACCCACCTCACTACATGGTTTTCCTCTATAAAAGTCCCTGGAAGAGACAACTTCCCAGGGAACAACCCACTCGGGCCCCCCTCCTGTTCCTCTCTTGGACAGCTTTCTTTCTCTCACTAAATATATTCTGCTCATAACCTCCATTTGTTCTTGTTATGGTTTGTGTCCCCCCAAAGCCTCATGCAGTCTTGGGGCAGCTTCTGGAGTTTGTGATTGATTATTGTTGGTGTGGATGCTGAACCTGCCCTAGGGCAGGTAATTTGCATTATAATGTGAGGCCAGAAGAGAAGCCAGCTGCTGGAGCTGCTGCAGCCCCTCCCTTGTGCTCTTACCCTGAAAGGTTGCCCTCTGCCATGTGCTGCTCTGCCTTGGAGCCAGCTGAGTGTAGACTGAAACCTCCAGTAACTGTGAGCTAAATAAACCTTTCCTTCCTTCATTTTGAGTGTTGTGTATTTGTCCCAACACCGAGAGAAGAGTAACTAAGACAGTTTCTAAAATTCACTCCTCAGGCTGGTGAGATGGCTCAGTGGTCTAAAGCACCTACTTAGAACAAGCTAAGCTAAAGCACAGAGACCGCGGTTCAATCCCCCAGCACCACATGCCAGCCAGCCCCGCCCCCTGGTGGGCTGAGCTGGCCACACACACACACACACACACACACATAAATAAAATTTAAAAAAAGACCTATATAGCAAAAAATGTAACTTAAGAAAAAAAATAAAATTCATTCCTCGGTTTTGGAGAACACAAACTCATGCAGGTCAGGTCCAGAGATCATTTTTCCTTATGTCATTTCAAGGTTTAGGCAAGCATGCAGGCTGCTGAGCTATCTCCCCAGCAAGACATTACATTAATTTAGGAGAACTATGTTATCTCCAGGAGTGAGATGCCTCCAGCTACAGTCTTTATCCAGTTAACTGGGGTTTGAGCCAGGTGACCTTAGCTGTGGCCTTAGACGGGGGGCCGAGGCAGACTCATAAGGAAACATGAAAAGCCAGATGGTTAAAATCTTGCTCAGAACCACTTCCTGGCTGTCTCCATCAAGAGACAAGGTTAGCAACAAAGGGAGCTGGTGTGGGGCTCACACCTGAGATCCCAGACCTTGGGAGGCTGAGGCAGGAGGATCTTTGGGGTTGGAGCCCAGCCTGAGCTACATGGTGACTTCGAGACTCGAATTTATTTGGTGCAGTGTTGCGCAGCTTGGACTCATAGTGATTTTTCTGTCTCAGCCTCGCCTGCGCTGGGATTACAGGCATGTACCACCAAGCCAGGTTTTGGTGACCCGCACAGCATGCCTTGGATTCTGGGGGGGGGGCGCACAGCATGTGACACTGGGGATCGAACCTGGGTCTTTATACTTGCCAGGCAGGCACTTAGACTACTGAGCTATCTCCCCAGCCCTTGGGCACTTTTTCACTGTAAAATGAGTATGAGGCCAGTCTGGACTAGAGTGAGATCCTGTCTCAAAAACAAAACACCCCTACGACAACAGGCTCCTGTAGGCCCAGGTATTCTCCTTCTTGGTAACTACCCCTAGGAATTAAAACATCATACCACATCATGTATGGATACTTATAGCAGCAGTTTGTCACAGCTGAATTTGGGAAACAGCCCAAAGGCTCATCAACTGATGAATGGATAAAAAAGACGTAGGTTTTTTTATTTTTTTAATACAATGGAGTACTACAACACGAATGATATTGAGACATTTCTGGGTAAAATGATGGACCTTTAGACCATATTAAGTGAAATAAATTGGACCCGCATGTGTAAGTAGTGTATCATTTCTCCAGTGTAAGAAACTGAAGATTTGTTGTTGCTGTTGTTTTTTAAACGGAAGTTTAAAGAACCAAAATGTACAGTAGATATTGTGAAATGGGAAGAGAATGTTCAAAGGAAGAGGGGAACTAGGGCAGTGGGAGAGTGAAATGAAGGGAAAGAAAAAAATGAGAAAAAAAATGGAAACAAAGCTTTTGTAAATGGGGGGAGGCATTAAAGAGAAGAGTGGGGAGAAAATAATCTGGTTATAGCATGTCCAGGAGAAACTACTTATGACGAACGTGAACATTATGTATCATTAAATGTACCAATAAACTTAAGTAATTAAAAAATGGAGTTTTTGCATTTGATTGTGTGAACCTGAAAGCCCCTAGCGGTACCGGTGCCTCCAACGAAACACTGGGTTCCCGCGTCAGAAGAACCGCAGGTCTGCGGGCTCTGGACACAGCGCAGCGCAGACAAAGCGTCCGAGGCCGGCTCGACGCCTCGCGGGCCGGGTCAAGCGCGGACTCGGGACGGAGCTGCCCTCCTCACCGTGCGCCCCTCCCCGAAGCCCGGCGCGGAGCTCTCCATAAACCAGCCACCTCGGGGAACGGAGAGAGCGCGGGGCTGGGAGGAGCCGGCCGATCAGAGGTGCGCCCCGCACTTCTGACGCTTTCACGAGATCGCCGGGCTGTCCTGGCCACTGTCGAACGCCACCAGCCTGCAGCCGGGCGGGAGTCGCCGAAGGCGCCAAAATCCCGCGCGCTGCTCCCCGAGTGGGCGGGGCTTGGGGCCGGGTGGCCACAGGCCTGGGGGCGGGCTCATGGGCGGAGCCTATGATGGGCGGGGCCTCGGGCTCTGGCTAGCCGCGGACCTCAGGCAGGGGCGGGCTTAGGAGGAACCAGTGTGGGGGCGGGGCTCGGAGTCCCGGCCCGAAAGCCGGCGCTGCAGGCCGGGGCGGGGCTCGGGCCAGGAGGCGGGACCCTGCGGGCGACGGGGTGGGCGGGGCCTGGGCTGGGGTTAGGGACCTGCGCGCAGCT